AATTTGTTTGAGCACCTCAACTGTGTTGCTGTGATAGCGTCAGTTATTTTTTGTACATGCAGAGAGCTGGATTGTAACTTCCTTGTAAATATCTTCACCAGTGAGGTTTGTTTTGAATTGTAAGTTTTGCAGTTTGTAGACTTGAGTGATGCCTTCTTATTTGCAAGGTCTCCACAATATTTTACCATCGTGTTGCGCATCTTGCATAAAATCTTGCTCCTGTCCAGCTCTTCTTAGAGGTTCGTTGGTGCCTTCAGTGGAGCAGCTCCGTTTTTGCTTATGCTTATTTTTAGGTACTTAACTCTCATGTTGCAAGATCCTGTTGACTAGTCATGCAAGACAAGAAGCCATCCAGAAAACAGGTACGTGTCAAATTGGAGCACAGTTTATTTAACATTGCGAAATACAGGATCACTCCGTTTGTGGATAGTAGATGTCAATTTAGTTGGCAGATTTGGGCTTGCAGTAGCAGAGCTAGTACCACCAACTATCAGTCCTCTCTCAGTAGAAGTCTACATGCCTGAGCTAGTTACATATTGCTTCAGTTAAATGCTTATATGCAACTTTAACCTGAAACAGCCTACAGACAACTTTATTTCCTTCTTCTGGATTATATCACAGCCAAACTGCACCATGCTTAGAAATGAAGTCTATCTTCTGTCCTTGTTTACATCCATAGTAGTGCAATAAGTTCCTTTCATTTTTATAGTGTTATCATAGACTGTGTACATCATGGGTGTGATCTCAGTGATGCCTCTGATTTCCGAAGTGGAGTTTAAAGCCTGTTGACAGTGGCTGTAAAAATGGAGATGGAGACTGCCTAGCTCTTGGTTTCAAACAAGAAACAAAGAGGCAGTGCTCAGGTGAGGTTTTTGGCTCCTTACTAACAGCAACAGTGTGCCCACTTGTATGTCAAGTCAACTATTCCCCCAGTAATGTGAAACTCATCACCCCAAATCTGGAAAACTATTTTACTATAGAGTAAGTCGCCTATTTTACAGTGCGTCCAGATAGGAAAATGAGCCATTCAGACCAGAATGAAATTTTGTTTCAGCCTTTAAATGTATTCATTTCTGTTGTAAAGATCTTTTTTATTGGTGTTTATGTGGCTTCAGGTGCTTTTGCAGTCAGCCTCAAGTGGACACAGGAGGAACTGAAAGTTTTAGCACTTTATCAGTGGCTTCATTTCTCAAGTACTCCAGCAAACTCCTAGAAGTTGCCGCTTGATTACTATGGCAGTAAATATTTATCAGAGCTACAGCTCCAGTCATTGACAGATGGCTGTGCTACAGCCGTATAACCGGCATCTCAGGCCGACAATAATAGAAAGATTATAATAATGTTTGACGTCAGATTAAACATACATATCCCATCTGGCGCGTTGCCTGTATTATGCGAGGTGCTGATTGGTTCTTGCTAGCTAAACATAAAAAAAACTGGGTATCCAGAGTTAATTTTCTCTTCCGACATCTTTGTGTTGTTGTCAGGTTTATGTTAACATGACTGCTAAGTTTCTCTGAAGTTGGATCTAACATGAGCAGATGCAGATTGGATTTCTTATCTGATTAATAGAGAAACATATGTCGAGGTGTAAATGACTATGTATCGGTGCATGTTAAGATTTTATCAAGAGTTGAGACAAATCAAGTGGCAAGTAAAGATTAAATAGATATCGAGATTAAGCAGATTACCAAAAGATGAAATGTTGAATGCTCATGTGTTTTAAGCAGTCCTGCAGCGTTTATATCACCAACGCAACCCTTGAAATTAATTTTAAATTGAGGGTGTCTTTTGACAGCTCATAATAACACCCAGATGCAGCTCCCTTCTTACCTGTCAAAGAGAAAATGTTAAGTCCTTAGGCGTGTTTATTTCTCTCGCTTCATTATTTACTCGTGGAGTGCTCTTAGTTTTCTCCCCCTTAGGTTATTTCTTGGCTGTGTGATTAATCTTAATCTCTTTTCTGACAAGATATGGGGAAAATGTTCCAAACTGTCTCATATTGTATAACTGTTGCCCTGCATGGTGGCCAGAATTCAGCCATACATGGGTCTGTTTCACTGCCTTAGAACTGTATACATTAACTGGAGTATATTTCGGCTTAGATTTTAAACAAGGGGATTATTAAATCACCCATATAAATCTGAATAAATTGACCAGACTGCTGTTTTTTTGTCTTTTCTTTGGCAATAATTTGCTGTTTGTCCTGAACAAGCTGTGACTCAGCTCCAGTTTCTGCATAATCTCTCTGCCAATAAGTTGCTTATTATTGATAGAGAATAAACACACTTCATTCATCCATATCAGCCTCTTTTCACAGCTTCTCTACACTGGTTTCATTACAGAATCGATTTTAAAGTTGCAGTTATTACTTGGCTCAGCGATGTCTTGCTGCAGCTGTAATTCTATAAAGTGTGTCCTGCAAGTTTCTCTTGCTTGAAATTGAGGCATAAATAAAATCCTATCCTTAAAACACTCTCACAGAGCAGATACAGTAGTACAGAACCTCCAATAGCAGTCGTGTCTCTGTAATGTGGAGCTGCAAATGAGGTGTGATGGTGAAATAAAGTGTGTCATCAGAAACAGAAAAAAAAAAGAAGTTGCACTTGAAACCTACTTCCCTAAACAAATGCTTAAAACTATGACAGAGGAAAATTCAGCCGCTGAAAAATAAGATGAGTTTTTTTTATGTTATGATAACAAGACATATCAAGAATACTGGAGTGTGAGGATGTTTCTTGTCATCCTGGAAGTAATTTTCTCTTTCTCTCCACGCTTTCTTGGCTTCATGAGCGGTAGAGTTGTTGCAACTTTTACTGCCATACTCATTTCAATGTATAACTGAGAGGCAAAATGTTTTGGAGCATGTCACAATCCTTAATCTCAGGTTTGTGAGGGGGTAACTTTCAGTATAGATGCTGCTAAAACAACAAAGTCTGTGCATAACATACCAACAAAAACAGGTTTGCATTTAAACTTTTTACATTAATGATATGGTATGAGTTCAGTAAGGAGTTTACCAAAAGGTGTTACTCCGCCTTTTTTCACCATAGCTTCAAGCTGGTGTGGTAATGATACAGACATTCAGTCAATGCTTTCTGTTTGCTCCTCCCAGACTGCGCTGGAGTTCACAAAGAGGCATGCTTGAGCTGGTGTTTCAACACACGGAGAAACAAAAGGACAGTGTGTAGAAATAGTTGTATGTAGTGGTCAGATTCTTGGCTGAAATGCTCCCCTGTTCCTCTTGTTGGTGAAATGATGTTGGTTTTTGAGGACAAGAAACTCCTCCTCTTGGACTATAATATTATGTCTGTTAGTTGTAGAGTACAGCATTAAGGCAGGAACCACAAATCAGCATCTACAGATTACAGGAAAGTTCTTGCCTCAAAATTCTCCAAATTAATGACATGCACACTTGCATGGTTATTTTTCCAAGATATCAACTTTTATGTGTCCTTGCTATCCAGACTTTCGTAATTGATTTGGATTGCTGGTTCTGTGAAATTGTCAGGATTCGTTTCAGAACATATGGACCTATTTATCAGAGCTAACCTGACAGCATAAGCTCTGAACTAATGTGTGTAGACCTATTCATCATGAAAACCATGCATAAATACAAGATTGATGTTAATCAGGAATTGAACCAGATGTTGTTGCCTGAAGGTAAATAAAAACTTCCTTTCTGTGTGGGGCTGTGAAAGTAGTGGGAACATTATTGAAATCACTTTAAAAAAGTGCAATCATCAAAACGCAGACCCTATGAAGTTTCTATAAAGGTAAACAAGGTAGAGAATCATGGTATTATTTGCATAATATTAGCTTCAAATAAAACAAATTAGCGCTGAAAAAGTCAATTAACAGTGTTGGTAGAAGTGTTTATCATGTAGCTGGAAAAAAAAGCAACAACTACCCAAATATAACAGCACTCCAACAACCAGCCTTTAAGCGTATTGGAAGATGCAGCATGTGCAAGCTTAAAGTGGACTTGGATTGGTATCAGAATCATTATCAGCACAAATATTGGCCTAAATGAGTTTGCAAATATTGGTATATTGGATATCTGCAAAAATCCAGTGTCTGCATCTGTGAGAGAAGAGTGACCAGAAATTATAATGTTAATAATTATTGTAATGCTGCATTGAAAGAAATTCCTCAAACTTTATCCTGATATCAAAAAGGGTGTTTTTGCGCTGATCCCAACATCACCACCTCGATGATTCTAATAGATTTTAATGAAATAAAATTTTGATGCAAATATGATAATTCCAGCCAATCCTGTATCTTATCCCAATTCAGTCAAAGCAATCCTATTATGATTCTCCCCATATTGTGCTGCCCTAGTCCCATGCATAATCATGTTTTGATTTAGACTGTGCACTGAGAAGAGGGGATCTATTCAGTGACGATTCTGTCGTCAATGTGAGACAGAAAGAGAGGAAGCGTGTGAGAGTGTGATACACACAGTTCTGCCACGAATCAAGATTTCACCCATTTTGAACTGTAAGAAAAAAGAAAATCGATATGTGGAGGTCAGTGTTGATATTTTGGCTGGCTGCCACAAATAAATCAATGTATTGAAAGCACTGTGCTAATATTAGTTTGAAGATCAAAGGACAGCTACGGCTTACGCAGCTCAGACTGATGAAAACTGAGTCAGGTGGGACAATGGAAATGGGATACCGTAACCTTATGTGAACTCACGTTGTTGCGCTAATGTGGTTTGCATTATTTCACAATAAGGAGACCCTTAGGGTTTTAGTATGACATTACGACCGGGTTTGAATGTGATTTTTACGACCACATTGCTACACACCAACATAAAAAGATTGCTGTTAGAGAAGTTATTCTCTAAAAGTATGCTTTACTGTGTGCCTACTAAAGAAATAAGCCTCATGTATATAACTTCATTTCAAGCTTAAAATCACCTCCTTTATAAATGAATGAAATTGTGTCTCACCATTCATATTTTTTTCTCTAGATAACCACAAATGAGCACCCAGTAGTAAAAAAAGTTATTTATTTTAATAGAATTTCTATCTGCTCATCCCCTTTAAACAAGTTCTCCCAAAGTAAATGAACACATTATCTTTAGAGCAGACCTTGACTGTGAAATTAATTAGACGACATAAAATCCTTATGAGGCATAAAGCTTCATATTACACATAAATATTGGGTATTGCTCAACTATAAATGGGTTACTTAAGGCATCAAATTAATAATGTCACACTTTTTGAGCGTCATCAGTGACAATATAACCTCCAGAGCTGGCCAGAGCGCTTACACTACTTGAGCTGCCAAATGTGTAAACAAATTAATTTAGTTACACTTGATGATAAATTGTTAGTCAGATTTATTTTCAAGGGTTCTGAGTAGTGCAGTAACTCACTTTTGCTCTAATTCATCCAAAAACGTGGTGACTCATTGTAAAATCTGCTCTTAAGATCGTAATATGTTCATAAACCACAGCCTTTAAAAAGCAATACTATTGTGCCATAGCATAATGTACAAGGAAAGAATAAAATACAGAAAATATGTATAGCCGGACATGTCAGTACATTTAATGACACACTTCTTTTGTTGGCAGAAAGGAGCACAATACTGTAGGACTGGCTTATTTTCCTTATTCAGTGTGTTAACATGCACACTTGCACGTTCATTTGACTGTTACCACAATAAGAGTACACTCCAGTTATTACAACTGATAGACACAGTTAGATTTAAGCATAATCACTACTCAGTAAAAAGTCATGGAGATAAGTGCTTTTGTTAGAAATTTTCAGCCATGTTTTTTTTTTTTTTTTTTGTCAGACAGCAGGGCCAGGCTGTGCTGAGAAAACATTGAAACCCAATTTAATGATGTTGGAAAATAAAGGCCACTGTTCACTGACACACGACGGATGGTGAAGTACATCCCTTTGTTCCCTAATCCACCAACAGGTTCTTAATACAATTTTGATTTTCAGCAGAGAGAGGCAAAACTGTGTCAGCAAAAATCCCTTCACAGACCACAACTTCCCCTCCAAATAGTGTGACCTTCCAGGATTATTACTTTTATACTATTTTATTTTGAAATTCAAGATCTAATTTTTTTGTTGTTCGACTTTTCCTCTCATAAAATAAGATTGCCTTGTCTTTTTCTTCCTTTTGTTAATCTGAAATGGTCCCTTGACCCATGTTGTCAATAGCTTGATGGAATACAGAGTCCCTGTTTTCAATTTAGTATTTCAAGTAGCAGACATGGGGCACGGATAATGGGTTATTGTGCTTTGTACATCCACCAAAGCAAAAGAGAACAAACAACATAAAGACCCTGACAACAAGAGCTCTCTCATATTAGAGCTGATGGAACGATTACACCATCTCAGCATCTTTACAGAAAGTAACCCACCCATCATGTAAACAAAGCTTATTTGGAGACTCTTTTCATGTGATCAATGTGCCTTTTTTGAGTACTATCTTAAGTTTGGCCCCTTAGCTGCTCAGAGTGCAAACCGTCTATGTTGAGCACTTATCATAGACTGTATATCGAAATGGACGCCATACGTGTTTACTGACTGTGAAGCCAAAAGATTTAGAGCACCCTCTACTAACTGGCCGCAGTATAGGTCAAAAACTCTATCTCCATGTTACCAGATGGAACATGGGTCAAATTATGAGAGTACAATACAAATTAAGAAAAATACTTCTTTATGTTGACTGTCATTGTATTTAGTGCTTATTTTTGAAGTTTGGTTGTTTTTAGTTTTATTAAACTCTAAAAAATTGGTTTACTGACAGCTCTGTGGACAAATATGGGCTCCTGTACCAAATTAGCAGAGAGGAAGAGGAACATCTTTAGAAAATGTTACACTGACACAAGAGTCCATGGTCATAAACTTGTGCTTCAAACCAACATAAGAATCCACTCTGCTGTTGACTGTACCAGCCCGAGGGATCTTTCATGTTTTAACGGGTAAAATGCATGTCTAGGTTAGCAGAAAGGTTGCAACATCAATCCCACAGCTCTACCAGCCGGGTCACCTCTGTGCATGCCTTGGCTCCAGCAGTGCAGTATGTCAGCATCTGTTGAGATGATCTCTTGGCTTCACATCTCATAATAAAAAAGGCACATTGTCCATTCTATATACAGTCAATGGTACTTTTCAAAGAGGCTGGGGTTTAATTCCAACCCTAACCTTAAATTGCACGTCGTTCTTTCTCTACGTTTTATTTCCCTGTTTGCTTACACTGTCAAAGAAAAGCATAAATATCCCAAAATAAAAGCATTTACCTATCACCATAGTTTGGTTACACACAGCAGTTAGATTAAGTGCATGTCAACATACTGATTTAGAAATGCCGATACAAATTGACATTACATAATCAATTTAACTTTGATTATTTGAAATTCAACATTTGTTTTTGAAGATTCAGTCCCTGAAGTAAAAAAAAAAGAAATGTGTTGGGTATATTGTCAAGATGTGGTTTGCTGCTGTGCAATTTCTATCACTCATTAACTGAGTACATATTTGAAGCGAGGATAGTATGCATCCTGACTGCAGTTTGTAAGATTACACAATCTCCTTTAGAGGTTCACATGATCTTCATGTTAAACTGTATGGGGGGCTCAGTTGGACTGGCCTCCTCGGTTTCCTCTTTACGTGGTACGTATTCAACCTCTATACTTGACTTTGTATTGTCTTTCCCTCTACTCCAGAGGAACAATATTACAAGACAGAAAAGGACAACTCCAAGGAAAGAGATAAACCCCATGGTGGTTGCAATGATTAGTGTCTTTACATCAAATGGGAATGGAACTGAGGCCCGGGTTACATTAGCGCCTTCATCGTTGGGCTGGTTGGAAATGAAGGCAAATGTCTTGTTTGGCTGATGGGGCCAGTTGGGGGAGTAACTATGCACAAAAAGGTGGGCAGCTTTGGTGTCATTGCCGGCTGCATTGCTTGCAATGCACACATAGGTGCCATTGTCCTGGATTTGGGAGTAGCGCACCTCCAATGTGCCATCATAAGATACAGAAAGTCTTGAGCCAATAGTTTTAGCAGTAATGTATTCCTTTTTGGGAGAAAGCCACATTATCACGGGGACTGGATCCCCCTCAGCTTGGCAAGCAAAGTGAACCGTTGTTCCCTCATCTACATGGCTCTCCTGAACCTTATAATCCACAATCTTTGATTTCTGGCAGGTGAAGTAATCAGAAGGAAGGACGTCTGGGAAGTCCTTGAACTCTTTTCCTTGTACAATCGCAGGTGAAGCACACATGGGCTGTTGTCTGTTGAAGTTCAGCCTCCACCGTCGGCGGAAAACCCAGAGCAAGCGACAATCACAAGCCAGTGGGTTGTCATACAAAGCCAGGGTCTCCAGGTTACCGACCGAGTGGAACACCGATTCCTCCAGTGTGCTTAAACTATTGCTGGAAACATTAAGAACACGGAGGTGATTGAGCCCTCGGAAAGAGTAGGGCTCAATGGCAGCTAATCTTCCTCCAGCCAGTTGAAAAGCCTGCAGCTTCTGAAGATTGTACAGTTGGTTCCCTTCAACAGTGTGAATTGGATTAAAAGACAGATTCAGAAATCGAAGATATCTCAGGTGACTTATGGCTTGGTAGGGGATGACAGTGAGATTACAGTTTGTGATAGACAATGATGTAAGGTTAAGTCCAAACAAGCATTTTGAGGTCATGGTATCCAGGGCAGGCATATGAGAAATCTCCAGCACTCTGAGCCTGTACAGCCTCTTAAAGGAGTAATCCCTTATGACAGTAACATTGAGATAGCGTAATCGAAGTGACAACAGGTTATGCAGATGGCTGAGAGCATCAGTGGGCACTGCGGCCAGATTGCATCCCTCAATGTTCAGGCTTTCAAGGTTGCTGAGGCCATGAAATGATCGTGGTGAGATGAATACAAGGTCGTTGTCCCCAACCTCCAGAGCCCTCAGGTTATACAGCTCCTGGAACATATAGTCGAGCAGAATGACAATTTTGTTCTCACTTATATCCAGCTGTGTGAGGTTGGTCAGACCTGTGAAAACCCCAAGCTGAATCAGCTTCAGTTGGTTGCTGCGCAAACCCAGGATCCGAAGGTTCATTAGGTTGCCAAAAGCCCCGGGCTCAACGGACGAAATTGTGTTTTCGTTAAGTTGCAGTTCTTCCAGCTGAGGGTAATTAATAAACTCCTCAGGACCGAGAGTTTTTAGTCGGTTCTTGCTGAGGTCTAGCAGCTTCGTCTCAGTGGGTATACCCTCAGGAAGTGCTGCCAGTCTCCGCCGATGGCAAACGACTGAACGCTCCTGAGCGTTGCAGTCGCATCGAGAGGGACAACCGGTGGTGGAGCCAGAGAGGACGGTGCCTAGCATCAGGATAAGGATGGGCTGCCAGCATGCCACCAAGTAGCTGTGCCCTCCTGTATCCCCAAACACCATCCTACTTCTTACCTGCAAAGACACAGAAAAAGAAAGGTTGGTGTATTGGAATGATTGTTCAGACATTGCACGATGCTGCGTATGAAATTCAGGGTAAACTAGCATAATGTAAGTTTGACCTTTTTTCCAAGAGCAAATCGCGCCTTTCCACTCTGATATCTTTTGATTTAAACTGAAAGTCATTAGTTCTACTGAAAAGACAACAGATTTCATAGAAGATGACCTATGCCTGTTTCCATTTGTAGACAGATAAAATATTAAAGTAACACTAATTAGGATTTATCTCAATATACTGAACCATCACAGCGTAATGAAGTAAGTGTCATAATGATAAAACAGAAGAGGTGAAGTTGTGGCATATTTTGACAGAGATCCCCACCCAAATACAGTTGTAACCTGTGCAACCTCTGATAAATCAAATTTCACAGTGTTTATAAAGCATGTGGAAATCACAACTTTCTGCACACCTTAATAAAGATATGCCGCTCTCTCCTTCCGTTGCGTGAAATTTCAGTGTGTTGGCTTCTCCCCAAAGTAATGAGATCACCCAATCAATAGAGGGGCTCAGTCACACAATGTAAGCACCCTGCTGTGATTCTGACTCTGCAGTGTGCTGGAAACAATTACTTCCACTATCATTGACACGTTGTCTCCGCTCATACAAAGCATTTTTAATTAGAAGCCAAACACTGCCATGGCAAGTATGAAACTGTGTTCAGAGTGTTCGCAAAGTTAACACATCCAATGCTATTGCTGAGCTGTTGACCTTGCAGTGATATAAAACAGAGATTGCTGCCAAGCGGTGATAAATGGAGAGAGGGAGGTTGTCAGAGGACTCGAAACCCCCATTTGATTTCGACTCGGGGGAACTTTAACTTGCTAAAACCTTCAAGCTCTACTTCCCACATCAATCATGCGCGTTCAGTCACGGCTACATCCGCGAGGCGCTCTTAGAAGACCAACATGCGAAGTATTTCAAAGTTCAAAGTGTCTTTTATTTATTAATTTTCTGTTTTTCTTCCTGTTTATGCCTGACCTTGTTTACATAATGACACCTTTTGACTTAATTGATGCTTTTACTCTTTTAATCTAAAAGGGAGCATCTGTAGGCCTAGCAGCTGTGAGACATAATAAACCACAGTGTATGTGTGATATCTTTAAGAGTGGTTTGTTAATGTAACAAAGACGTGAACTTAATTGATATTCGTTTTTCTTTTATCAGCACATAAGAGCATCCTGAGCCCAGAGGTTTTAAACAATACTACACAACACAAGTGTATGCGGTACAGAAGTGGTATCTGTACTGCTGCACAACTGGGAAATTAATCTCCACATTATCATGATATTAATAAACGATAAACAGCAATGTAAAGATGAATATCTTTTAAATCTCAAAGTGGGAATTCCATTATGAGAGCTTAATACAGCCCTCGTCTAAATTTTCATAATAATAAACTCTGTCATAACACATGGGAGCTGAATAGGCGCTACATATTCTTTCTGTAACTCATTCACCACAGGAGTGGTTTTTGTAAGAGTACTTCAAATGATCGGCTTAGTGCTTGTTAGAACCACTTTGGCTGTCTACCATAATGCTGCAGCACTAAAAAAATATCCAACCTGATAGTGAGTATTAAAATGATCTGTTATTCCACCGACACAAATGATACGTCACTCCGAGTGAATTAAAGTCATGGGACCGAGGCAGCTTGGATTGTGGTCTGAGCAGCTCCAATGGAACACTAATTACAGCTTTCATTTTCACTTCCTCCAGAACTGTTAATTTCTGTTGGCTGCATATGTCAGACACGTTGGGCGTCAGTCCAGTGTGAATGGGGCATTGTGAAAAAAAAGCAGACTGTCAGAATGAAAGCTGGTGTCTTTCGGTTACTCCCTTGTGATATTCTTCCCTCCTCTATCTTTCACCAATTTATGAAAAGCATGTACTGAAGGCTTTTCCAGTGGAGTGGTGAAATGTTAGCTAAAACAGCCTGTATGGTGCTTTTGCAGACTAAAATCTCATACATAGTGCAAGCACATATTTAAATGTGATCCACTGTGACAGATGCAAAAACCGTACCGTGAAATGAAATATTACCTAGATACTGGGTGCACAAAGCGGGTGACAAGTTTATCTGTTTGACGCAGAATGTGATTTTATCTTGTCAAGTCGGGAATATGAATGCGGATGTGGGTCACTAGTGTCACTGCTAATCGAAAACAAGCAAAAGCAAATGCAGAAGGTGATTTTCTTACTGGAGTACCATGCATGATTTATGATTCACAGTGTAGTAAGAGCAGGGCTACTATCTTTGTAATCTGGCCTCACAACCCAGATCCACTAACTGTATGACCACTTTGTTTTGACCTTGAGAAATTCAGAGAAAAAAAAAGAAAAGAGGTAGCAAATAACCTCTCCATTACAGCAGCAGTCACTTCTATATACCGTGTCTGGTCTTTAGATCTGAGTCTCAAGTATTTCTGTCTTTTAATCTATCACTCAGAAGTCTTTGTCCCCGCATCGATTCTCACCACCCCTCCTTTTGATTGTTCTGCAAAGAGAAGGATAAGAGTGGACAAGCCTTTTCTTTCCTGCATGTCCGCGACTGCTTGCATTTTCTCAGCGGACCTCTCACCCTGCCGTAGCCTCCTTTCAAAAGCATGTCTCAGCCCACCATTAGTTTGTTGTTCCCTTGGATCTGCGCATTCTCTCTCCTCTGGTGCTGTGTGGTTTGATACCGGGCGAACCAAATAAAGGAGGGTACTGTTAATGGGTCACAGAATGTCTGCAAGCAGCACGCAGACAAATGAGCTATATGCTTGAGTGCATACATGCCCGTCGGTTGTTTTCAGTTATTGTTAAGTACATTTAGTGTGTGGCATAATGTTGGAAGGACTGTAGGGCGTTTACATTGCTTTGAGAATTGGGACCCTTATTGAATATTATTGAGTGTTTTCCATACATAAGGCAGAAAAAATAATGAAAAACAAAGGCTGTGTCTCAGACACCAAATTGTGCACGCAACTAAAAGTTTTGCCAACACTTGCAAACCGATACACTGCTACTCTACTCGTCTGTCATGTCCCTGCAGGGTAGTTTGAACTTGTGACCGCTGTCATGAATCATCAAAGCAGCCTGAGTTCTGAGAGTATTTCCCCCGATATAATAAATAATTTAGCTGTTTGCTTTGATTGATGTGCAGGCACTTGTGAGGCAAAAGATTTGTCTGTTTTTTCTCTTGGGTGTGACTGATGAGTGAGGCTTTTTGGATTAAATAATATGATACAAGTTAGTCATTGTGATGTAAGTCTAATTAAAGAAGGAATTATGCCGTTTGTCTCAACTCTATGCACTTTAGCATTTAAAGGTAGAGTTTGTAGAAATGGGAACATTTACTTGTACGTCACAGCCAGATTATACAAACGCTCTCTTCCTCACCCCTTCAATTGGTGAGTGGGGTGGTGGCTTTTATGGACAAACCCCTGTGATTCATGATAAATATGATCACCCATGTGTCATGTTTTTACCATCAAGAACATCTCTCAAAATTAGGAATGCTAATTATTAATCAAGTATCGGGTAATTGATTAAGAGCCTACTCTAGCATGCATTGTTTTTTCAAATTTCCCTGAGGTAGAGGCAACAATAGGTGGTCTCCATTACATGCAGCTACTCCGGTGGAGCTGTTTAAAGATTTCTACTGTGTGAACTAACTGGCTTAGAGTGTTGTGCCCTGCGGAGATGCTCAGTCGGGGGGGCTGCAGCTTTTGACCAGATCGACACAACACTAACTACACAAACACAGCAGTTGGGAACCTTTAACGGATCATCACCCCATCTTTGGATACAAGAGCCAAGAAACAGGTAGAAAGTCAGTGTAGACAGATTTCCCTGTGACAAAGCGGGCGTGTCTATGTCTGCAAACCAGCCACATCAGTGCTTTCTGAAAGTGTGTTTTCTGCCACCAGTCACTGATTGTGGCTTGGTTGGGCTCCCAACCGTCACCCGACCATGTGGAAATGCTCATTATCGCCATAAGAACATGTGGACAGAGAACCAGATGCTGTGAGTCAGACTTTCTTGTTCCAGCACTACCACATTCCAGACCCAACATGACTATACATCAGAGAGGATTGTTTTAACTATCCTGCTCTGCATGAGTTAAATGATTTGTGTGCCTGTTTACATTTGTAGCTATGCAACACTCTCAGTTATATCTGCTGTGTTGCTGTGGAATATACTGTATATGGTTCAGGGAGGAAAACTTGTATTGTTTTTGTCATGGGAAATATTGAAAAGATCTTTTCAAATCAGTTATCGAGAGTTTTTCTGTTGTGCAGAGAAACCTTTTTTTTTTGTCTTCCAACTGTCGCATTTTTTGGTTGTCATTAAATTCAAAATCAAGTATGACTGTCGCTAGTTTGTCCATACTGGACTACTGTAGAAACATGGTGGTGCAAGATGCCAGCCTTCATGGAGGAGGACCATCTCCTTATATAAAACTTATTCTGAATTAACAGGCATATTTATGCAAATATGCTTCAATTTGAACATACTTCTGAAAATCGTGTTTCAGTGCTTACAAGTCTATTCTGTTGAATGCTGCAGACTGTACCTTTTAAGATATTTGGAATATATAATTTAGTGAAAAAATGCTGAGGAGTTTTGCACAGTTTGCTGCTTTCAGTTCATTTGGATTATTTCAAGCATTACAGGACTAGTCTCCTCATGAGAATGGGACACACACAATCTACAGTTACTCTTGTACTTAACTCATGTTTGTGTCTAATGCCTTCATTTCAGTTTATGACAGCTCATAAATGAATTGTTTTCCCTGCTTTAGCCTTCATTATTGATGTGAAGCCTGTGCTCGCTCGCACACCTCTCTCTTTCATGGCTTTCTGTTAAGTGGCGAAGGCATCTCTCAAACAGCTTATTTTTGCAACTGTTTAGGGAATAGTGCAGATGAAACAAAAAAGAGGCAACAGCTGCAAAGTAACAGGGTAAATATGTACAGGATTTAAGAGATTTAAAACTGCTTCCACTGGCATGTTTGCCTCCGACTGACAAATTTAAAGCAAACATTAAAAAGGCACTAATCAAACAAACAAGAAAACATTGTGGGCTGCATGGGAGTAACAATGTTTGCAGGAGATTACAGTGGACGAGTCTCATAGAACATCAACAGACTACTATGGGAGGCTGAACTACATCTGCAGTATGTGATTTACGAAGAGCTGACATTTTCATGTGCTGCTTTTAAGTGCGCAATGCAATTATCAACACGAAAGGTTTCATCTTATGGGGGTTAATCTTAGCGAATCAAAATTAGCTTCAAATTTAGCACAACTTGACTGGCTTGAGACGGGAGCTGAGTCTCAAGCATACACACATACCAATAGTGGCATACCAATAATACTGATGCACTGTTTATAGCTACAATGACCTGCAACAATAATGGCATTTTAACAAACACTCGCTGGGTAAACAGACACATCAAAACTGTACTGCAGAGAAGGGTGCCAGCTAATCTACATCCTGCAGAAGAATGAGCAGTTAGATATGAGAAATCCCATAAAAACAAATCCTCCATGGAAACCTCAGATAAATGTAACACCCCCTGGAAACCTTAAAAAAGACACCACATGCCCTGTCGATCCACCATGCCAGGGTGGAAAGAGAGGAACAAAATGGTTCAGTGCATGGAAACTCCCCCTGTTGAGATGCAGAAACACACCTGCATGTGGTCAGTGAACCATCAATCTCTCTTTTTATCCTCTAGCTAACAGGGCTGGCAGCCAAAAAGAAGTCATGCACTTGTGCCTTAGAAGTTTCAGCACTGAAGATACCCACACGTACACGCTCTTTTTTGTGGAGATGGTGTCAGGAGAGATTAAGGGAGTGCGGATAATTGTAGTGATCGGTACAAGGACAAGCACATGAACAGAAGTCTCTTTTCAAAGGGATGGATCATGCAGAAATGAAAATGTTTGACTACATTTAATTACCTGTGTCAGATCGCGTCTCCATAAGGCAAAGCACATTTTTATGATGTAGCCTCTCTGACAGCCTGGCTCAAAAACAAAAGGACTCCGTTCTGATGGTTTCGACTTCCAAAGGGGACTAAATAACCCAAAACTTTCTGAACACAATGCACCCAAACACCTCATGCCCCATAATCTGGCATAATGGGTTTTCAGAATCCAAACCGTTTCACTGAGTCCAAGAGATTTACACGAGCATTTAGAGCATTTTCTCCACTGAAATTAGTTTTCTGCAGTGTTCTGCAAAGATATTTTTTCTCCAAGCTTATTAGGAGGCAGTACACAAAAGCCTCAGAGACAGAGATGTGTGCACGGACAAAGCTAGGTTCCACTGAGCAAACAATCATCACCACAGAATCATAATGTGTCCATAACGTGTTTGCAACAGAGGAAGGTAGGGGAGGACGGAAGGATTTAGGCTGGAGATATTTCACAATTTTCAAACAGCTTTTTGGACAAAAAAAGTGTAGAGAAAATGTCCAGATTTTGCTTTTGATTTTGGGGAATTTGAAGCTGCCAGAGAGGTCAGCGAATTTCCTAAAAGAATGAGCACAGCCTGGACAAAGAAATGCAGCCCAGCGATTTCTGGCAGATACTGAAGCTTAGGCCTTCAGGGTGGATGGTTTCAGTCTGACAGGTGACACTATAGATGAATGCTCTGGATGATGCCCAGTCTCTATCTAACATCACCAACAACTGTGGTTAATGGAACTGAAAGTAACAATCTCCATTAGGCTTTCCATTTGACTGTGTCCGTTTCAAAGTACCTGCACTGCACTCTGACCAACACTGCATTCATCCAGCTGACAGGAATCACTGCTGGAAGTGGTGGATACTTGCCAAGCAGGTTGGAGGCTTTTATTGTAATGGAGTACAAATCCTCTAAAAACCCAAACCATCGATGTTATCACATGGAAGGCTCTCTTTTGAGATGCATCATTACACATACTTAAATAGACCTATATTTCTCCCTGTGATAGTACCTTGCACAATGAATGCAGACTTCTGACACTTATTCTCTGTCCACCTGCAGCATATGTGCTCATGAAAATTAATCGTTCATGCTCTAATCCCAACAGGAATGTCATGTCATGTTAAGATAGCAGACTGTGTATGTCCGGCCACAGCAACCTGCACTATTTTCGAGCCAGTCGGTAAGGCTTGCATCACCCCCATATTGTCCTTCTCTGTACCAGCAGTGTGGAAATAACCAGCTTCAAGATCAAATCCCTCTCTCATCTCCTGTGTGGTCAGGGCTCAGGCTGACCTAATCATCTTTGATCCTCTGCCTTCTGTGTTGCACCTTAACGTATTCAGTCTAAACCCTTTTTGTGTAAGACACATGACTTATCATGACCTGATGAGCATCAGTCCATCACAACACTCATGCACTTAAAGGCCTTTTTTAAAAAAAAAAAATCATTTTCACACATTGCAGTGCTGGAGGGACAGGTGCGGATAAAAACGATGATTGAATTGTATTTGGCTGCCTCAGTTTCAGGCACGTACCCTAATCCTCCCTTTGGTTATGTTATTAGTAACAACATCTTTTGTTCCTCTTTGAGAAGAAAGAAAGATGTGGTGGAACAGTGGTGAAAAGAGCCCCTAATGATTCCCCAGATTTATAACAGTGGACAAAAGCACGGATGTGACAAACAGAAACAGAGCGAGTCATGCAAAGATATCAAACTAATCACAGGGAAATGACAAAAACAGATTTTTACTAGCTCGAAAAGAAATAACAAGGCTTTTTCTACCACAGTTTTACACTGTGGTGATGTTTGTAGGCGTTTCATTTTGCTATGTAAGGGGGTCCACCACCAACAATTGGGAATGCTACCTAAACAAACCTACTTTGATCCATCGTACATGACTACAAGATCTGTACGATATCAGACAGTATTTGCAAGTGAACAACTCCTTAGTGGTCAGGTGTGTTTGGTGGAGAAATCCACCACCAGAGAGAAATAAAGCAAACAAGTCACTCGATGTTCTCACTTAGTTACATACAGTGATGCACAGGTCCTCAAATATCAACACATAGACTCTGAGTTTTGTGTTTTGAAATAAGAGGCCAAAGACAAACACACAAGACTTGTGAATGAGACCGAGGTCAGAATAGATGAGCCAGAAACCAATGTCCTGAAGGTGAAATGCAACTGCAGTTTTTAACATTTTCTTGTTGGCTTGCTAGGTGGCATAATAAGTCTGTTTTGTGTAGAAAATAGTGTTTTTGTGAACATGTATTCTGCTTCTGTTTTCTGTTGTTCTGAATTTCACTCATTACTTATTCCTCTCCATATCCAGTCCTTTTTGTCTTACTCTTGAAACTGATTCATTACCAGGACTTCAAACTAACTTATTCATTAACTACACACAGTGGGCATTGGGTTGAAATTTTTAGCAGGTAATATATTTTATTTTAAGTCAAACCTAATTAAAGTTCGCAGGTATGGTCAGCAGTCTTAAGAGCTTGCGGCCACAGACACCGCAAGTGTTCCAGTGTAAAAAGGGACCATGCAAACTGAGAAATCTTTGACATTTTAATTAAAAAATAAACCAGACAGCATTAACAAGGACTCTTTCCACATTTCAACAGCTGTTGCAACCATGACAACCACTGTGGAATGAAGCTAAAAGAGGCCATTTAACAGGATCACTCATAAAAACTAAAACACTAGTTGCTCTGAAATTGAATCCTGCAGAATTCGAGTCCACAGTTGAAATATCAATTTTGACAACCACACAACAACTAATCACTGCAATGCTGGTAAAGGCCCTAATGCAGCATTCAGATCTCGCTAACTTGTCTGGATGAATGTAGCAAAATGCCCCAGCCACATATTTTTGATAGAGTATGCCGTAAATAGGTCTATAAAGTTGTTCTTATAGGTCTAACCTTCGATTGCAATTGCTGCAACAACATTACAGCTCACGATGCACCTCTTAAGTGCCAAATGCTCTTTTACTACTCACCCAATAGTCCTGACTGTCTTGTCTTCATCATGCAGATCTGATGTGCTGTTCAAAAGCTGCGGTTGGTCTACATCCTGCTGTGCATCTACTCTGTAGCTTTAGAAATTGTCAATATGCCACAACTCTTCATAGTTTGACCACAAACTAACACAGATGCAGGCCTAGACAGAGCACATATGCTCTGACCATCTGCTGTGCATGCAGACAAAGACTCTGGGACTCATACATTATAAAGTGTCTTTTACTAAGCATCTCAGAAATGGACAACAAGAGTGCTAACAAAACGCTTAGTTCAAAAGAGAGAAAACGTAAAAAATATTGACTCACGTTCGAGAAACAAAGCCGATCTTAGGAGAGGAGGGTTAGAGGAGTGTGCAGAAACAAACGGGAAATCCTCGGCACTGAGAGTTCTGATCTAACACCTACGTGTCATGCCCTGGAGAAGACTCCTGCTCAAATGTGTGGGAGTCAGACATGCTTAAATAAAAGCTTTTTTACTACACTCAGAACTTCGCCTGGGGTTTCTTTATTGTATGTTGTGTGTATGTGAATTAAGGCTGCCTAATACAACGCATATTCGTCTTCAGGGTGTTATTGACAGGAGGGCTGAACACATGGCAAAAGATGGCCTCAAATTCACTGAAGAGGAACAAATACTGTGTGTCATATTGGCTCTTGTTACATGAACAATGTGTTTTCTGTTTTTTTAGATTGTTTTTCGGGCTGTTCAAGCCTATGTTGACAGTAGAAGACAGTGCATAGAGTAGGAAGCTGGGAAGAGAGAGTGTGGGATGACTTGGGGCAGAGGGCTTTGAGTTGGATTTGGAACCAGGCCACCCACTCCAAGGACTGCAGCATCTGTACATGGGGTGTGCAATTTTTACCACTCAGCTATAATCTGGCACCCCTGGATGATGTGTTTTTATGATTTGGCCAATTAAATCGAGTGCTAGCTAGCTGGCTATCAGCCCTCAGGTTATCTAGCATCACTGTTGCGGATGATTGAGAAGAGTGAAAGACTTGGATGATTGTTTTTAGAGAAGCACTTTTGACTCACGAGTTACTGTATAACACCAGCAAAACCTCACAAACGTAAAAACCGATTTATCAGCTACATGCATTTTTCATAATAAGCTAACCATACTGTACATCATTAAAATATTTAATGATATTGCTGCACATTACTAGCCTGGCATTGCCACTCCACTTCACTGTGGGTAATTGGTCTGTAACTGTTTTCTAGAGGATGTTAGCAACTTTTCAAACAATCGTACAAATGTGTGACACCTTTCTCACCAATGATGAATGTATGTGTAGTTGTTCTGTATCATTTCAAAGACAAAACTTCATTTAATTTGTTTAAAATGACTACCGTGGTAGATTCAATAAAACCTCCTCTGTGTCATCATCTTGAAAAATGGACTTTTATTGGGTTGTCACACCTGCCACAGGTGTGAATTTACAATTAGAGCAGTTTGAGGCCCCAAAATACTGGCCGATGGGTGTGTCAATGCCAGGCTAGCGTATCACACATTTTTATGAGAAGAATCAGGCCTACTGTAAAAACATAGTTACCATCTTGCCAGATTAGATTGTGTTTGTGTTGTAGGATCGCCCTCAAGGGCTCAAGCTGATTGGCGATGCCTTTTACTGCAGCAACCACAGAGCTCTCTACTGAATAAATTAGTTTATTTGTTTTACCATTTAGCTCCAATTTAACATTCAATACCAGCCCAAAAAGTCTTACGCTTTATACATGAGTCACATTTTGGCGTCAGGCAGCCAACAGACTGTAGTCGTGTCTCACACTTTCTGAAGTTACGCACCTCCTGATTTCTGTCACCTTTATTGGCTTCATCATGTTTTTGTTTGTGGATTTGTTGCTATTTTGAGACTAGGCAAAACAAACACCCTGCTATCATAAATGTTCGGGTACAGTTTGTCACCTTTATGAAGTATCTGTCGCTGGATAAGGTTACATGTGACAGACAAATATGATCACCAATAACGTCTTTTCCAAAGTCAGGAGATGATTAGGTTTGGATTTGGTGATAAAAGTGAATTTGATCAATCATAAATTCACCATAAGGAGTAGCTGGATCATTGTAGCAGACCTGAAGGATCAGGATTTCTAAGAAAGCTGGATTTGGACCCAGAAGGATTTATTAGATCAAGGTTTAGAAATAAAACAGACTATATTTAATGCATTCAAAAATAGTCTTGACAAACTGAAAAGAGGAGTCTTTTGAGATTGTTGTGTCCAAGTGTTAAAGAATAATTTTTTTTTCTTTTTTTTTTTTTTTTTTTTAACATTTGTTCTTTGTTTTATAAATTAAAGCTTTCAGTCAGTTCGACTGATAGATCACAGAGGAAAAAAAAAAATCCCAAAACAAAGCCTTTGCCCAGAGGTTTTTCGAACTATTTTAAGAGATAATGTGATCTAACAGAACATGGCCTGAGGATGGCCCATGGTTATTACTCATTCACTTGGATTCTGCATTTATATTCTTCCAGCCTCTTTGCCCGGCCATGTGAGAAATGGTCCAGTTATCGCTTGAGTGTTAGTCCTTGTTTGGTCTTTAAACCCCTGCAAAAATATACCTCTGCCTCTTGGGCTTCTTCATGTTTGACTGTCTTTACCAGGCACTCGACTCAGCGATAGATAGTGGCCCCGACTCTGCTTTTTCACGCTGGGCAGGTAGCGTACAGTCGGTGTGTGGGAGCTTTTTGAGCTGGAAGCTTTTGAGCTGGGAGCAGCTGCCCACGGTTTTTCTATGGAGGGGGGGTTAGTGAGAGCCAGAGGGACTACACCAGACGCGCTGGTGAACCAAAACAATTAACTTGAAGAGGCTAGAAACTGCAGACTGGGCAATTCATTCTTTCTGACCGGCAATACTCACTGCAACATTTTACAGATGAGTCATTTGATTTGGTTTTGATACAAAGAAAGCATATGGGGATTCAATTTGCTGCCAGAACACATGTTGTTTTTCATGTAATTACATTTCTCAAAAGAGATGTCATGCATCCCGGCTTTAAACATTTATATTTATGTCTATTTCCATAACAGTTGTGTCCTACTTTCAGATAACAGCACGGTATTAATCACAGGATCAAGGTCTTAATGAAGACACTGCTGCTTATTTCATATCCTGCTAGAGACCGATCAATCAGCTGATCATTCAGGCCAATTAGAAGTGTTTTGAATTGATTAGCATTTGGAATAGTTAGCAGTTGGTGTTTATAGCTTCTTTGATAAAGATATTTTAGACATTTGAAGATGTGTTTGGTTGTAAATGCTTTGACTGCTGACTCTCCCTTAGGTGTGGACACTGTGAGTCCAGATTTCTATCACAGGTTTCTTCATGCTTTTTGTGGTGAAGGTGTAGCAGCGCTAGAAAATGTGAGGGGATCATTATGTTCACTCACTTCGACCCCTCTCCCTCGAAAACAAGCTTGCGATGCGGAGACTCAGCTCATCTCCGAGCCTGAGAGCAGAAAGATGATAAACTTCTGTGTGTTCAGAACTCGGTACACTGTAGTTTCTCGCTGAATCTGTGTGATCTGAATTTTAATTCCTCTCCTGCTTCCCTGTTTTTATTGTATTGTGTTAAGTTGCTGCCAAAAACAAGTCATTTCTGAGGTGGCTGTTTCAGGACAAAGGTATTTCAACAACAAAACAGTCAAGGACTTTTGTTTCAGAGAGCCTGTCAGAAATGAAATAGGTTTATCCTCAAATTAATTGAGCTTTACCGAAGTGGTGTTTGTCGTTTCACCTTATTGGACTCATGACAACTGACCCCATCATTGAAAATACACTTTCAAGCAGGTAGACCTGTATCAACAGAGGTGTAAATCTCAGCATTACTGTGGCTTTCTGCCATCAAACCTGGTCGTCAAAGAGTACTTACATGACAGCCGTGCCCTGGTGCACTATCATTGTGAACACTGATACCCACTCTACATAAGGAGGAGGCGGAGCTCTTTGACAGATCTGTGAAACCGTGGCTGCTTCAGTGTTTGCAAACTATATCTCTGTCATGTTTGCGCCATGCATGTGTGTTTAAACTAGTGATGACTGCATTGGGAAATCTATGTTGTAGCAAATGGTGTAACTGGGGGCGATATTAAAACACTATTTTCTGTGTTGGTATATTATTTTAGGTTCTGTGTCGCATACACAAACTGTATAATAAATGGAGGCAGTGTCGGTATTTTGTCCATCAGTGGCAGGTGCCATATTAGTAATGCTGACTCAACTTAATAGAAGTGGGTCTTTGGCCACTTCGCAAATAGCTGCAGTGTGCCCACCTGTCAGCAAACTCAGTTATGCCTCTCATTTGCCAATCTTGTAACCTTATATCTTCGAAATAGAGATATAAAAGTTAAAATGAAGCATATTAAGGCAGGTGCTATGGTGCCCTGAGCTCCTTAAACTGAAACTGTTTTTGTAACCAGGCTGTAAACTTGTTTATTGCATATTTGCTCTAAGAATGGGCTTTTTTTTGTGTAATGTGTACATGGTTTCTGGTGCATCTGCAGCCAGCCTCGGGTAGACACTCAGGGATCTAGAAGTTTGAACACTTTCAGCTTTTTTTCTGAAGACCAGAGGAACTTTTTCAGAATGTGCTGCTGACCAGGACACTATTTACAAAGAGACTTTTAATCTCAATGATGCTGGTTGAATAAATGTAAATGAATACATAAATTGGCCTTTTACTGTCTAGCCATTCGTTGTTTTTTTTTTCCATTTTCAGATGACTGGACACTAATGGGCCAATAATGACAAAATGTTTATTCAAGGTCAACAATTTTGTTTCCCATTTGTTATCATTATTAAACTCTATTTTATGAAATGGAAAAAAACACAACAACAATGTGGTATCTGCATCCTGTCAGCCATTGAAAACCATTATCAGTTGACCACTACTTGCTCCAAATGAAAGAGAAAATAAATTAAACCCTTAAAAACCGACAAAACTATTGTCATAAAAAAAAACCAAAACAGATTATGTAAAAGGAGAGCCGTGAAAGATGCAGGCCCTATATTTAACCTTTGCTACAGTATTACCATGCAGATCTGTACCTTGTTTCAACAACATGATCTAATACTACAAAGAGGCCCTTCTCTTTATTAACACCCATTTCTCTTGAAAGTCAAGTAGGATAAGCTGGAAATTACACAAACCTTTATCCTTTCCTCGACATCAGGGGAATATAAGATGTTTTGGGGTCTGTAATTGAAAAAAAAAGGGCTAAATGCTGTGCTGAAGGTAATTTTGCCTCAGACAAGCCTCTCTGAGTGCTTCATCAGAAGCACAATGGAAGATGTGGAAGATTTTCACACTGGATCACTAAGGCAATAATCACAGGCAACAGCGTAAATTTGAAGTGTCGCTCTGTATTTTTCAGACCAGGAAACTTCAACTATTCATATCGAGTGGTGTATTTAAATTGCTTTCCTTACATCTCTCTCTTTGAGGGAATGCTTTGGCTTTTTTGTGTTGATAGAGAAATACAGCGTAAAGGTCCCAGAAGCTTAGCTGCTTACTAATGCAGTCTGTGCAGTTTTGAGAGTGCAGAAATACAGTGCAATAATTCATCATCTCAGTATTTCAAAGCAGACCACTGGTGTCATACTCAAAGTTTTCTTTTTATGCATATGCTGTTTTGCTGCTGTTTTCTTCCGCAGCTCTCTCTTGAAGAAAACCACCTTGTATCAATGAGATTTCCAGAGTAAATTAAGGTTAAACAAATATGAAAGTCACAGCAGAGAACAAGGTTTACAGATGGATGGATAAAGTGGAGAAAAAAAAAACGGTCTTTGCAAGATTTCCACATGATCACTTCTTATGCATTTTATTGCACTTTCTGCTACGTAAGAGCTTGAGTCCAGCCGGCAGAATGAGCACAAGGCAACCTCAGCCCTCCATCCTGCTGGCCCCTGACTGTCTCATATTTTGCATAAAGCTGTTATTATTAAATTTAAATGAGGGAGGCTGCAGCCGAGCAGCAGGACGGTGACCTTCTGAATACATTTGTAGAACGCAAATTTGAGTATCCTGTGACAGATCTGCCTCCGTCTGTCACCTCGGCATCCAGCAGACACTGTACAAACACCAGCTCTGGCACTCATCTCCACTATCACTCTCACCATTTCCTCTTTCAGCTGGCTAAAGTTACCCATTTTGTGGCAGCGTCTTGATTCCTCATAGATCTGGTTGCAGAAAAAGGCTATAATAGTAACACCCTGTCTGTGTGCCTGGCCAGTTTAGACATCACTCCTTTCTGGGGCATCACAAATGAACTGTAATGTGCAGGAGTGCCCTGATTTCAGCTGTAAGTAAAATGTGCTATAATTAGATATCAAAATCAAACACAGGGAAAATAAAACATAAAAAAAAGCCTACAGAGGCTTCACACGAAGGGAAGTTATTCATTCTGTATTATTGGTACTCAGAGAGAGCACATGCAGTAAATGCTGGAACAAACGTAGAGGCTTTTAATTCATTATACTTTTATTCAGATTCATGCAGACGGCTGCATCACTGAATATTAAGCACATGATGGCGTGCAACAAAGCAGTGTGAAAAACCAGCATCAGCGCAGCTCTCAGTGTGTCCAGCTGTTTGGTTTTGTTTGGAGTAGAATCAAGTGAAGTTGAGGCCCCATAGTTTTGATTTCAGTTGTGTACACTGTCCTAATCTTTTAATGATGAACTAATATTGGGAAAAGGATTGTACAAATTGAGCCAGTGTTTACGTTTGGTACTAAGTGTCCTAATATATCAGCTCACTGAAAACACTTCTTCTTTTACTTTGTGAGCAGTAAATTCTTTAAGTTGTTTTTCCTTAAATCTGCTGAGAATCACTGCATTTATTATTTATCTGTGAAGCATACTGAAAAAAGTCTCTCTTTACCTCACATTGAAGTACAATAGCACTGGCTGTGAATTACAAACACAACTTTATGTTTTTCTAAAGTGCAGCAGAGGCTTTGTGTCTCATCCGGGCGTTCATTTTGCTTTCATGTAGTCCCGAAGTTTGATCTGTGCCGCCTTAGAGTATATGTGGGAGCTTTTGTGTGAGTGCAAATAATTGCTGCAGTTCAACCTTTTTTTTTTTCTCTCTTTCTCTATAAAAAGGGACTGAACATCCCCGAAAATGTAAGTCCGGGAGTTGCAGATGGTAATGTGGATGTGGCAAGGAGAAGCTCACAGCTGTCAGAGAGAGTGACTGAAAGAGTTTGAATGGCTCCACTGTGAGAGTGGCACAATGTTCTGTGTTTACTGTAAAGCCTGGGGGGGTGGAGGTTGGCTGTAAAACTGTGACTGCCATGTGTCGTAGTTGTGGTGCTCCTTAATTTTTGGTTGGTGCTTCTTTTTCCCAATTTTGGGAGAAACAGCACGACCAAGTAAAAAAAGGCGCCTCTTTACAAGGTAAATTAGGTCTTTTATAGGTCTTAATTAAAGGCGTTGATTTCTGGTTGGTGCACTCAGACCTAACACTTAAAGATTTGGCAGTTTATCTAATGTGATTACATCAGTCTGGTTGATATAATAGCCATGGATTATTTATTTTAAATGGTTTGAATTAAATACAGTGGGCCAAACCTCACTTTTTTGGGTGATTTTTGCCTTTATTGATAGGACAGTGTGGAAAAATGGGGAGGTGGTGGGGGGATGTCATGCAGCACATGGTCTTGGCTGGACAAACGTCACTTTTAGTGAACACTCAACAGAAGCTGCATTTGTTCCTGCAGTGTTCAAATAACTAATTTCCTCGCAACATGTTTACAACCATAGACTTGTATGCAGTCCCACTGAAGTCACCCTTTGGTTTCTGGCGCAGAGTGGTGGCCATATTGAAAATGCTGATTCAACCTAATTTTTCATCAACCAAGCAGCAGGCAAAGAGGTGACATTGAGGGCGGGGCTTTGGCCTCAAGTCAGACGGGCTCCTCGGTATCTTCAAAACAAATGACTTAATGAAAATCCACCCCCTGCACAGTGTGAGACGGACTGTAAACACGTCTGTTTTTGCTGTAATGATCGACCTTCTCAGTGCTCTGTGTGTCTTTTGGTGTCATGTTGCTATCCTTACATGAACACCCAAGAGACTGCGGCTTAGTTAATCCCCAAAAAGGTTAGCTGTGAGATAAATCCCTCTAGATTTCTGAAACTGCTTCGACAGTGTTTTTGTTTTTCAGCACCTTTAAGTTGAATGTTTTAGTGTCGCAGCTACTTCTTGTTTCGCCCAGCATCTCCATGTTACCAAAGCAGGGGTCAGGAAAAAGGTAAAACTCTGCTGAATGCCACTATCTGATACTCAGCTGTATGTGGCTTAAGCTACTGAAGACGCTGACATTCAGGGCAGGGTGTAAACCCAAGCAGAGCGAGCAGAGGTGAACAGTGAGAGCTATATTTATATACATACCGTACATATAGGAGAAGATGAGCTTAATTGAACAAACCGCACCATGTTATCAAAGATGTGTAAAAATGGATTACTAACAAGATTTCTCATGCTGATAATATGTCAGTGTAGTGTTTATATGTAAATTCAGATCCCCATTAGCTACTGTAACTGCAGCTTGCTGTGCTGCACCCGGTTGGGGGGATGAAATCAAATAGAAATCGATGGGTGCAGGGTAAGTGTGGTGGGTAATGCAGAAATCTTTTGATATAACATCAATTTGCATCTTATATAATCAAATCAATGTTAATTTTTAGTGAGATTCAGGGCAATGTAAAGTGTGATAAAAATCCTATGAATATTAATTTACTCTCTGGTCTGTAGAAGTTTTAGTGGAAACAGTGCAAAAGCCTCGAGATTTACGCACACTGGGATACTTAAGAGACCTGCCAAAGGAACAAAATGTAACTGACAATATGTCAATCATTAAGAAAATAAGTTTCCCCGGTAACAATGCTTATGATAATCACTCATTTCTTCAGCAGATATCATCAGAAATTCCAGTCATAAATATGCTGCTCTCATTTCAGTCCCTTGAAATTGTGCTCAGAGCTTTGGAGCTGCAGACGTGCACCAGGAGTGTCACGCATAACTAAGTATGAAAAAAAGACACTCCAATCAGCTGTCATAACCTGATTACAGGGTCCCAATTAAGAGCTTTGTGGAGATCATAAACCTTGACGTGAAGTGCAGACCCTTCACACTGAGACTGTCGGAGGTCTGAGGCTTGCAGAGGTTGTTACTGCACTATTAAAAACCAGAGAGGAAGAGTCCCCTCATCGCTGTCTGCCTGCTGGAGCGTTGCAGCCATGATTATGAAGATGCAAATATAACAAGCAATAGCAATTAAACCTGAGATTGCTTATTGGGCCTGCATAAATAATCACCCGAAGACAACCATCATTTTTCGCCCTAAACACACCCACCCTCCCCATCATAACCTCCACTTTCAACCACCACCACCACCCATCTTTCTAACCTGTGGCCAGTCAAACACCTGCATATAGGATCCCTCATTGCCACTGGAAAAAGCCAACAGCAAAAGCCTGCTGAATGAATAAGTGTGAGTCGAGATGAGTTTGCTGGCATTTGCAGGGAACATGAATGTTAATGAGAGCAGATTAGGAAGCAGCAACAACCAGCCTGGCAAAACACTCAGAGAGAAACACAAAACAGACGCTCTACTGCTCAGCTTCACACCTTTTTTCTCTGGGATATAAAAAGACGGGACAAAGGTGTGTTTGAATGCTTTTCAATCAGACACATTGAATAAATTGAGGACAGTTTGTATCCACATTGATTTGTAAGAAGTAGAATTATTTAATCTGCATATTGTGAGATCAGAAAGCACATGTACACATTATTTTGTGTGTGTTCTCCACACAGTACAAAGCCAGATTGCATGGCACACAGCAAAAAATGAAACCCATCTGGATGACAAAGCACAAATAAGATCTGAAGCCCGCTCTGTGAATTATCCCCCCTCTTTGCATCCTTTCCTTTTCCCTGTGATACACAATTTTATTCCTGTCATTATTTGCTCCCTGGCGATCCCCTGGCCCCACCACTGCACCATAATAAATCAGATCCAATGCCTCAGTGCTCAAAGCCCACCATAGAGACAGAGTACTTACCAGGACTGTCATGCAGAGAATTCTAATTCAGGCAGCTCCATGTTGCCAAGGAAATTCAAAATGCCTCCGAAAGCATGGAGACAGGGGTGCAGGACTCGAGACTAGGCTAGATTCAGATGGGAAAGAGGGACGTTTGGAGCGATGAGAATCCCTCGTCTGAGGGGCATTTGAGAAATGCCTCCGTCCTCTCCAGATGCGCTAAATCCGGCAGCACTGATAGGCTGACATGTAAACACACAGGCGGCTCTGCTGCCTCGCACACGCTCACATACATGCTGCACCTAGCAGAGACAGAGAGAGGAAGAGGGAGGGGCAGCTGATGAGAGGAGGTGGAAGGAGGAGCTGCAGTGCACTGGGAGGAATGAGCGGCACAGAGCGCAGGCAGTGAGGGGACTTGAAAAGAAAGAGACAGGAATGTTGTGTGAATGCACCGGCAGCGTGTTCCTCTCATTTTTGTTTACTGTAGTTTTCCTATTTATGGAGGGATTGGAGTGATCTGGTTAACTGGAATACAGGCTGCAGGGGGAGAGAGAGAGAGGAGCAGAGAGGGAGTAGAGTGTGTGGTTACAGAGAAAAGGAGGTTAGGGAGAGAGGGAGCGAGAGAGAGAGAGATGTGCAAATAAAGCAGGATGATGAAGATGAGCAGGAAAAGTGAAGCAGGGTTATGAAGGGGAGGAGGGAGTGATGAGGCTTCAGGGAAGAGGAGAAAATGAAATTCGTTTTCTGCAGTGTGCAAATGTCTGCCTGTAATGAGAGGCAACTTAAGATTTGGTTGGAGGGGGGATGGAAACATACTTTTTCTGTTTTGAAAGATTTCTTCCGTGAGTGGAGGATTAACACCACACATAGTGCAAAGTCAGGCATTCATCAGACAGACTCACCTTTGCTGAGAGGATCTGGGGTTTGGGGGTGGGAAGCTCAGGCTTAGTGGTGCTAATGGGTACACAGGACTGGCACACACATACTGGCAGTGCCAAGGAGGCTTCACAGTCAGGGGGTGTTTATGGGAGATTATGGGGTAGAGGATTTAGTGGAGTGGTGGACATGAAGGGTTTCTGGCCACGGACTAAACAATGAGACACATGTTGTATGGTTTAGAAAAAGGTGTTTAGGTTTTGTTTAACCCATTTTAGTCTTTATATGCTGCATGGATTACGTAGCTTAACTTAATTTAATTAGTTTTTCTCATGCGTTCAATCATATCTGTAGAAAAGGCAAGTCTTGACAGATGTGCAGGAGTGGCCAACAACTGTAAAAGGATCTCAAGATGATTGCCTCCTTTTCTAAAGCCAGTATACAGACTCACAGTGACTTCTGACAAACCTCCCATCAAGACAACATGATTGATCTGGTCAGTCAAGTAAAAACCAACAAATTCATGATTTGAAGAAACATTTGCGGGTAAATATGATAAATAAATACAGAAAATCTTATTTTAACTGCAGCAGAAGTACTTGTGCATTTACATTTATACACACAGAGAAACCTGATTATGCACTTCCAAGTATACGTGATCAAAACTTGCAGTCAGGTCCTTCTGGGCAATAACATTGCATTACCATCATTGTAAGACTTGTAAAAAGCATGTTAGCCGGGCTTTAGGATTTCAAGATTGTTCCCAGATTTGCCTTAAATCAGCATCATTTCAAAGGACTTCATTAGATCACTGTTTTTATTACCTTTTACAAGTCTGTTTATCCAGTGAGAAAATCCTCTTTAAGAGAGCGCCAGAGTGTGTGCTGTTTTGTGGCTGTGTGGCTATAGAGACAGAGGATATGCTTTGTATATCTAAGCATTTTCTTTGCAATAAAAACCTTTTAAGTGACTTAAAAGATTTGTCGTGTTAAACTTTGAGAGCTAGTTTCCTCCCCTTCCTTGCAGGATACATGCATCACATAGTTTGCAAGTTGGAAATGCGCTGTCCTCCTCTGAAACGATGTGAAACAGTCATGGGGCAAAGCCATGTGTACTTGCTCTTGCAGCTTTACTTACTTTTTCTTTATATGCATAAACAGCCTTGAAATGAAATCATCTTTTATTGGTTGTTATCGGAACAGTTAACAACAGAAGAATATTCCCTTTTATAAGCATACAAGAATAGACATGGTGATATTGATTCACTATAGGACTGGAGATGAAATCAACACCAAGTTAACTCTCGTACATTTATCATGTGGAAACATTTCTGTCCAGTTTGTCAATAGCCTCTTTACCAATAACGGAACAATAAATATATTTTTTAGACCATTTAATAGCAGCTTTGCTCTTAAAGAAAGCCTGTGCAGCATTTGTACTAAATCTGTGAGACTAACAGCAGAACACAGTTCTGAAGACAGCCAGTGGTGGAGCATCTGTGCTCTACAATAAAACATATAGAGGGGGAAGAATTATTCCTGCAATGGAAAAGGGAGAGCACTACACCAATACAACATAAAAGAAATTTATGGCTCATTTCTCCAACTAGAAGCTAATCTAAAAGAGATGAGTTATGTTCCCTGTAGGAAATAAAAGTCGATGAAAGGTGAGTTTTGAAGATTTCTGAATGGATGACGCTGAAGATAAGAACAACCTGACATGCGGCAGAATGAATTCATCTCATGTTTTATGTTCTGAGGGGTGCTGAGTCCACTACGACCACTTAGAAAAGATTGGACAGCTGATTCATGGCATGTGCATCTGCATTCAATGGTGCTTACATTCTAAGTGTAAGCAGATGAGGGCCTTTGGATGCATGTGAGTCACAGCCTCTGATTTGTGAATGGATTTGTTCCCAAGACAGTTAAAATAATACAAGTCTGTGAGTTATGTAACGGAATCCAATCCTGAGTCCTTGGTTAAAATGTTTGTATTTTCGCGTACATCACTGCATAATGTTTTGAACTGAGTCCATAGAAATGAGCTAAAAGAGAGCCACACATTAATAAAGTAAAACATGGAGCTGATACTACCTACTGTACTAAAAAGTGCAATCACTTTCCACCAACATGAATAAAAACAAAATATGGACTTTGTAATGTTTTTCTTGACAATCTTTTCTTCTAAATCTCACAGATAAGAAAAAAACAAAGTCCTCATTTCAGGCATAGGCCAGAGGAAGTACACGCTCTGAACCAGGGTTGCCCCAGGTAATCGGTTAATAAATAGTAAGGGACAGTTGTAGTTCTTCCAGCTAGTTGCTTCAGGCCATAAAAAGAGGTGTAAAAAAAAAGGAAGACTCATTAACCAGCTAATTAGCTCGCCTCTAGCACAGTGTTTGGTAGCACCAATCATGTTGGAGGGATGTTGGAAGCAATACAAGTTTCCCTGTGTTGTTTTTTTTTTATCTTTGGATATCATTATGGATGATCAATCAGTATAACACAATCATTAACGCCATTAGTCAATTCATGTTGATTGTAGTGCCCCCTATAGGCAAAGTGATACCTCTCTGGTCCAGATCTCACCCAGCTTTATTTGAACTCTAAAATGTTCGACTCAGCTATATAAAGGTGTTAAAAAATCCAGCTTTGGCAGCATGTAGTTAACCATTACAACACAAATCTACACCCTGCTTACAGTTCAGACATCATTAATTAAAAAAAAAGAAACTTCTGTTCTTTATTTTGAGGATGTTATTTGCTTCTGTGGGTCATAATAAGGTTTTGATATTGATTTCAGTCTGTTTCATAACAGATACAAACCTCCTCACAGGAGCTTTAAAATAATCTATCGGATCGTGTTTTTGTCGTAGCTTTCTTTCATACTTTTCTTTACATTTCCTATTTATGGCCTTTATTGAAATAAACCACCAGTGCAAATTTCTTGAATGTGAAAACCTTTGAATAAACTATTTTTATTTACAACACGACCTTGCTGCCTGATAAGTTTGCTAAAGGGAGCAAAAGTCGGCTTCTCCGTCAGCTGGTTTTCATCACACAAACACAGAAAACACCACACAATTCCCCTTTTCAGCTCTAAGACAAGCTATTAAAACTGCAGCTCTAAGAAAAAAGAACAAAAGCGCCGCCTTGGTCTACATGCTGGGGTTGTTGCACACATTTTAGCTGTTGTGCTCTTACTTTTATCAAGGCTAGAAAACCTCCACCACCCCTGAAAGTCTTGTGTTTATGGGGTTTTGATTTACTGCAGGCCTGTCCACACTGCATTAGTGGTGAAATCCAAAGCTCTGCAGGCCTGCTGGGTTACAGTTGCTAACCCATAAAATTTCTGTTCAAGGGAACAGTTTAGCAAACAGACAAATCAGAGTCAGTGTGACTGTGTGTGATGATAGGGATCAAACATCTCCCTTGACTCGGGGTTTCAGATGACCCCTGGTTCAGATTTTGGCCACGGTACCAAAATGGCTGCGTAACTGGGTTCTGTCTCTGGAGGGTGCGTTTCTAACTGATGAGCCGCTGCTTTTTAACCCCGCATATTTAATTCACAAAGCGAAAGAATACTGCACAGTCACAAAAAAACTGCTGTGCAAGCTTGTTAGACATCTGAGCCTCAGCTTTAGGTGCTCTGGGGTTTGTGCCTGAGTGTGTTAAATAACTGTGAAAACTCCACCTGCAACAACAATACTATACAACGGCTGTAGATTATAGAATCACTGAGCAGAATAATAAACTCACACTTTCCCAAATACAATCATTCAGTTCCTGCACTCAGAAAAAATGCTTTTATTGTTACTTTTGATCTTGTGGTGGTGCTGACTGATGGCATGAACACTTCTGACTACATCACAAGATTGGTGGAGTTAAACCTCGACAGGGCGTGAATATTTATCAGCCTATCACAAGCTTTTCGTGTTAGAAACAACAACAGTCTGATCAATCTGCTCATATTTTGAGTTAAATCCATGTTTCTGATGACAAAATACTTCAGGCAATAGATAATGTTCGCACACGGACACTAGGCGATTCCAAACATGAAGGAGAAAGTACTTCTTGGATTCAAACAGGTCTAATTTTGAGGTGTTTTTCACATAGATATTCATACAGTCATAGTCAAACATGAAGAACTACAAGGCTCAGTTTTGTAGGGTAAAATTGCTTTAATTCTCATGGTATAGCATGCAAACCTTGGGCAAACCTCTACCCCTTCAGAGCATAGAGCATCAGGAAATTCTAAGACCATACCATTTAGAATAAAAAATACCAGAATTTCTGTGTAGTGTCCATCAGTATATCTGAGTAAGCATTTATTATTTGGTCTGGTACTGGTTTGTTTTGCTAGAGTTTGCAAATTTGCATCCTGTGGCCATCTTAACCACTTAAGCACTTGTGTGCTTCTTTACAGTTGCATTACACCATCATGACAGCCGC